CTCTTTCGCAGAGCTAATAAAATTCAAGGGTCACGCAAATCGAGCGTAACCGGGCAACCTACTCTTTCGAGAGCGATCGAACTTCTGCCAGAGACCGATATTGTCGTCGCGACGTCATAGCACGGCGTTCTAATAGCGATCAATAGTGTCAAGAAAAAGTGCAGTCTATAGATAATTTCTTTTTAAATTTCACAGATTGTAAAATTTGTTGGACGCAGGAAGGTTTTAAATGACAAAAGTTGCCTTGCAGAAAAATATTTAAAAACGGAATATTTCAAATCAACATGAACGTAGTTCTATTGGATACAAGAAACACGTGAAATTTAATAGTGGCACATCTTTTGAAGTGTGAAGCAAAAATCTTGCAATGTAATTTTTTTGATTTTTTTCATTTGGGTATATGTATATAACAGAAGATCCAAGAGTTCATTTAATCGGATGTTAATTGAAATTTCATTCCAAGGAACAATTATGAAGCATAGATTGATCATAAATGACCACAGCGTTTTCCAAGTAGAAATGAATAGATATAGCCAGACAACAATTCGAGTAATAATAAATCCATGATAAGATTCGAACCAATTATGAACCATAAATTGATCATCAACAGAGTTCTCTAATTGTAAGTAGAAAAGAGCGGATGATGATCAGACAACAACTCCAATTCCATATATTATAATAACGGAATAACGGAATAATAATTTGCCGTTCTCACGAAAAGTCGAAAGTCCGAAATCATAGAAATCAGATTGACTATAAGTTGTAAATTGCTCACAAACAACGACAGCATTCTGTAATTGCAAGTAGAAATGGGCGGACGTGGCGAGACAAAGACTCGAGACGAATCAACAGAATAAAGGAATAATACGGACAATACGATTATACTTACTGACTAAGGTGAGGAAAGGTATGTTGTGCTGTTGAAAATGGGGCGTGCTGCAAGCTTCTTCCGGCCTTGAAACGGCGCTTCCGGTTTGCACTTCTATCACGTGACCGTCCCTTCGGTAGAATGTCATGCACATGAAACCGCTCCGACTGGAAACAGAAAGAATGCCCGGATAAAAACCGCGCGTTCCTTTGCCCTGTAAAAGACTGGTAAAACGTTCCGCTATGCGAACAATAACAGGGCTGTTTACTTTGACAATGGTGGACCGCGATTGTAGCGAGCGTCCGGCTCAACCCGTTTCTCAAAACACTGTATCATCGACAGAGTCTTTGCTCTTTTTCCTTTCGGCAGCCCGCTCCTGCATTTCGAGGCTCGAAACTTTTTCTCGCTTTCTCGTTTTTCCCAGTACTCAGTTTGTTTTTTCTTTGAATGCAAAAAAGGATGAAAATCTTTTCCTACTTCTTTTAAACCGTTCGTGCCACACAAACAACGGAACTGAACTTTGGTTTTCTATGTAAATTCATACACGCTCTCGGAAGTGTAATTTAAAGAATAGAATTCTTTGGTAGAAAATTGCAGTAGAAACCACCAGAAGGAGGTTTAAGATTAATATTTGTCTGTGTGGAAATTAGTAATTTTAATACCAGACTTTTTTTTCTTACCAATACTAGTGACAGTTTCGTTTGTATTTACTCTCGTTAAGTTATTATGGATTTGCCTTTTAAACTTTCTTTCATCCGATAGAGAATCAACAATCTCGGCACATGAGGATGACAGAATTTTGTTTATGCTCACCAGCCAACGGTGAAGTGGGCGACCAGCATGGTCATCGTCATCGCTTGAGCAGCGCTGGATTGCTTGATGCTGTTGCACAGAATCTTCACGTCTTGGTCCTCTTGACCCGCGACGTATTGTCCGTCCAGGGGGCCGTTTTCGAATCTCGAAGAACTGTTGTTCGATCTAGTTACGTGTAGGGAAGCGTTCCGCGGATGGAACGTGTAAGATCTGGTGAGGTCGAGGGTGTGCCAGGTCAATCCACCGCTGGAATGGCCGGTTAACCAATTGGGAAATCGGCACTGGCCGGGTGGCGAGACTGAAAGCGCGCGGAAAACCAATTTATTTAATGCTGATTGGACTTTCTGGCTCGAGTTCCCCTTCCGCTTCCCGAACTGAACGTCGAACGGCGTTAAACGGAACAGCTCCTTTGCTTTTAAAACGTATTTAGAATACGGACTTTTGCGATTTCTGATTGTTCCTTCGCTCGTTCGTTCGTTCGTTCGTTCACCTCTCGTTTTTATCCGGCTTCGCTCGAACGGTTCGTTTGTCGCCGGCTGGGTTATGGAGCATTCGAGAGGGCGGACGCCGGCGTTCGAGGGTAATCGACTCGACCTTCGAATCGTTGCTTTAATTCGATTTGATCGTCTCGCGCCGAGCGTCGCGTCGCCGGCAGATGAAATTTAAGGGAGCCGTAAGAATCGGTATTATCGCGATAATATTCAACCGGCGAGACGCGTTCCGTATTCTTTAATTTTCTAACGCTTCTCTGTCCCGATCCAGGTATATGCAACCTCGTGTTCCTCGATCGACGAGGAACGTTTCAATCGAGATTGAGAAACTGGTCAACGAGGAAAGAGAAAGAAAGAAGATCAGGCAGAGAAGATGAAAGAGAGATTTCCGAAAATTTCGTAGTCAGGCCACACTAACCCATAAAGTGTCTGACGTTACGAAACGATAAAACGTCGACGTAGGTGCTCGATAACGAAACAGAATCGTTCGAGTATCTCGCTAGTCCACCAGAGCTACCCCTTCCTGTTTCTCTCTCTCTCTCTCTCTCTCTCTGAAAGTTCTCCAACGTGTTCCACTTTACAGCTCGAGAGTGTAAAATCCGGGTGCGAGAAGAAGCTTCGATGGTGTTGGGTCGAGGGGAAAGGGTTGACGAAGGAAAATGGATAACAAAGAGCGAGCAGGCACGAGCATCGGGCAAAAGGAACAAGAGGAACGTGGGCTATAGGCTGATAGATAGATAAAAAAAAAGAGCGAGCAGAGGAGGCAAGTGCCAGGGATGAAGCGAGGCGAGAAGAGACAAAGAGAGAAGGTCACGAAGAGCGGAGAACGGGACATGAGGAACGCTGAAAAAAAGGAGAATAACCGGGGTTCTAACGATGGAAGGATGAAAGATACGATATGAAAAAAGATGGAAAAATACGACGACTTTCCGGAGAAAAAGGAAAAAGAGACACTGCGGAGGAAGCTCAAAGGAGGAAAAGCGAAGAAGTAGCGTGATAAGGGAAAGAAAAGAGAGTAAATGGAGAGGGAGTGAAGTTCACGAATGGAAGATTGACAGAGTGTACTTTCGGTCAGTTTTATGGCACGTAAAAGCATTGTTGCACGGCGTGGAAAAGAATGGAAATAATTCAGCAGGGTTCCTCGATAAGTCCACTGTCGCGGACGAGCGAGATACAAATTCCGTGATCGTAAAAATCGAATGGCATTTCTCTTGTTTCACTTGCTGTTCTTTATCTTTTCGTCGTATCAAACAACGCGCCACTTTTCTTTTTTCTTCGTTCCTCATTCATCTATGCGTTCGTTTCCCCCTCTCTCTCTTTCTCTCTTCGATTTCGCACGTAGCTTTTTTACCGTGACATCCCTCTCTCCGGTTCCTGATCGACCCTTCTCGTTATTTTTCCCGTTACCCCGCCGCGTATTGCCAATCTGCATTTTAACGATACCGATAAAAATCCGACGGAAAGTTGAATTCATAACTCGCTAGTATCGGGCCGGGCTACAAGCGATTCAAACACGAACGTTGAAAGAGAGATCTCTTGCCGGACGTCGCAATTGATTTCTAATATTTACATTCTCGTGCTCCGTGGAAGTTGCAGTTCGTCAGTAATGAAGCGCAGCTGAACAACTAACGTCAGTTGCTCTCAACTTACTCTTTGACGATGACCGGGATTGTAAATTCTGGAAAATCTTTGAAACCTCTCGGTTGAAACCGCAGTTCGTAGATCGTAACTCAAAGGGGAGGAGCTGAAAATTATATCTCTAGTTTCGAAAGATTTCTCTGGTTTTAAAATATTTAATCGCCACCGTGGTTCGGAATTCCGTCTTACTTAATTTCATTTGAGAGTTAGAGCAGAATAGAAGACCAGAGAGAATAGCACACGGTTGTCTCGCGGAACGTCGAACACGATCGGACGATTTTATTTGTCCAGTCGACGCTGCAGTCCAAATATTATCGGACGTAGCTTGGCCGCCGGAAATTTCCTAGCACGTTCGTTCGATTAACGAGCCCGGGTCCTGGCGGACGTAATTGCCTATTCGAGAAGGGTCTCACGGTACAGGGAACATGGAACACGGGTTCTTCTCCCGCGCGTTTCAAGACGTCTCTCCCTGTCTCAGGTTGGATCCACGGCATCGGCCCGAGTTCCCTTTCGCCGGTTAAACCGCACGTTTCCGAGCAGTTATGAAAACGCAGTCGAGTAATTTTCCCGGGATATTGACTCTGCGGTGGAAGAGTCCAGGCTAATTGAACAAACTTTCGAGCCGGCCTGTGGGTGCAGTTAAAGGTTTAACGGCGCGGATAGATGAAGAAGAAGAAGAGAGAGAGAGAGAGAGAGAGAGAGAGAAAAGGTGAAATAGGAAGAGAAACAGGTCGGGACCAGGGGAAAGAAACGGGAGCGAGAAGAGGGAGAAAATGCCCGCAAGAAAAGCAAGCTAAAGAAAGAGAGGAAAAGATTTAATGTTAATCCATTTTCCGGGCTGGTTCTCGGCGTTGTTCTCTTCTTATTTCGCCAGCACCGCGCGTCGTTTCTACAAGAAAGATCGAGATATTAACGACCAAAGCGGGTGCTTGCAAGCACGCCTGCCTCGACCGCTGCTACCGCCTACTCTGCTCTCTACTTTCTCGACCGAAGACGACGGTTTTATTCGCGTGTCGGGCGACTTTCGCTCGTGCTTAAAGCGATTCGGCAAAGAAAGTGGTGCGAGCAGGCTGCGGGGCGCCGCTTAAAACGGGAGAGATCCTGCAAATCTACTCGAGCGAAATCCGTTAACGAAGTTTGCCGTGAAACTGTACGCAGCAGGATACGGGCTGGCAAACTCCTTCGAGGAAGAACGCGCGGAAACGTCGAAGAAACGGAAGGGGGAAAAGGAAAGAAAGAAGTTCGGCTCGCGTACAGGAAAAGAAGGAGACACCGTAACCGGGAGAAGTGGAGTAGCGTGTAAATATTCGCGCTACGAACTCGCCATTTTGACACCTACCGTTAATGACACTGCGAGAGCGACTTGAATTTTTCAGACCGTGATTCCTCCGACGATACACAATTCTACCCTGCTTTTCTCCCGAGCTTCCTCGAGTATTGCGCAACCTGACCCTGTTCACGCTCTACTCGCTTGTCTCCGACGTTAAATTTAACCTAATCGTTAAACTTTGGACGCAAGTCTTGAAAAACTGTATGTACACTTTTTTCTGGAAGTCTCGCCGCGAAATTATGCGCGATCTACGACGAACGCTTTCTTCCTCTATGTTAGATTGTTGCTCATGATTTAAAGATTGACTATGACTACTTAAATCACGGTGACAAAGCAAAGATTTAAATTTGTCAAACACAGCGTGATCGATGTGTGTCACGGTAAGATTACGCATCGAAAATGAACTCGAGATTTTTAATAAAACTTGAAATTTCGAACAAAGTAAAAAGATTCTAGGACTTTCATAAATACAATATGAATGCATGTAAGCTTGAAAATTTATATTAGAGCATATAAACACGAAAAATAATGATCAACAACGACGAACTGAAGAATTTAATTGTAGTAATCGTGACGTTGTTTCGCAACGATCAAGATGTATGAAATCTAGCGAGTCGTGAGTCGAATATTATTACATACTTTCAAGAAATCTATCTATCAGAAATTTGACTATTTCATCCGTATCAACATCTAACATTGAGGATTTGAACATCTCATCTGCAACAATTTGATAAATACTTACTTCGTTTTCAAAAATAAATGACTCAGAGAAACTGCAATTAAATTCATTCGAGACAATCTTCGAAAGAGATTGCAATCTTCGGAAACCAATCATATTCAGCGAGCTATGTACCTTTCATGAGTGTCATGGTCCGAGATCCTTCCATAGGGCTGAACAGTCCGT